CGTAGCATGAAAAGCACGCCCCGCCCATAACAGTCACCCGAGGCGTTTGGTGGCTGTTTTGGGCCCGCCCGCCCAGAACAGTAACCAAGAGCCTTGGGTGACTGCTTTGTGCGGGGCGGAGCCCCGCGGGCGGGACATTAAAGCACGACGCAGCTCTCGCGGTAGCGTGCGCTTGCTCTAGCGGGCCGGTCGGGTCGGGCGGGCGGGACCTTCAAGGTTGACGCAGCTTTCGAGGTATCACGCGCTTGCCCTGGCGGGCCTGTGGCGGGCGGAACATTAAAGCACGAAGCAGCTCTCGAGGTAGCGTGCGCTTGCTCTAGCGGGCCGGTCGGGTCGGGCGGGCGGGACCTTAAAGGTTGACGCAGCTCTCTAAGTAGCACACGCTTGCCCTAGCGGGCCGGTCGGGTCGGGCGGGCGGGACATTAAAGCACGACATTAAAGCACGAGCAGGAGGAGGAGGAGGAGGAGGAGGAGGAGAAGGAGGAGGAGGAGGAGGAGGACGACGATCTGTTTCGCCACGGGCGCCCGGCCCAATTCAGTCACGGGGGCCTCTTGGTGACTGTTTTGGGCGAGCGTGGATTTAAGCGATGAAGATCGGCAGCAACCGGAGGAGGGAGGAGGAGGAGGAGGAGGAGGAGGAGGAGAAGTTGGAGTAAGAGGAGGAGGAGGAGGAGGAGGAGGAGGAAATATGCCTCTAACTTCCATGTCGCAGGCCAATCGGACGTCCAATATTGGACTTCCCAACCCCAGAGTTGAAAAAGCCCAATTTCGGGTTTCGGAAACCCCGATATTGGACCAAGACTTCAATATTGAACCCCAAGATTGGGAAAGGTCAGTATGTCAATCTGGAGTTTGACAACTCCACTTTTGGTTTTCCAATATAGGAATTTGGGAACTCCAATATTAAAGGTGGGGATTGATCTTTCAGAATTCCGGAGTCGAAGCCCCAATTTTGGGGACCCACCGTCGGTGGAGCTATCTATATATCTATATATATACACATGTACATACATACATGCATACATACATACATACATACATACATACATACATACATACACATGACTGCATTGGCGCTTCGCGCCATGCACTTTGGTCCTCCTCGTCCACTTTGGGAATACGCCGAATCCCGGTTTCGCCATGGGTTTCAAGAGAATTTTGCTGCGAGCTTGGGATTCGGGTCAATCTGGTGATTTTCGTAGGAGTCGCCGTCTAGAAGACGTACGATCGTGCAGAGGAATGATGATGTTCGGGGTCCTTCGTGTGGCCACCACACGGGCTCGCTTGTGGCCCAAGTCGCCCGGTCGCGCAATGCAAGGCAACGGAAAGCAACGGTTCACCGTTCTTCATCGTATTTCTCGTTGATGCACGCTCTCGCCTGTCATTGCGAACCATGTCCCGTCTGCCGCAGGTTTTTTTCGGAGGCTCCTCGTTGGAGAACCTCTTGGGGGCTTCACGAATGCTTCGCAAAGGCTTTGGGGACCTCTGGCGGCCTCCTTGGCACCTTTCTGGGTCGTCTTGGGGGTCCTTGAAGCCCGTGTGGCCCGTCTTGGGCCCCTCTTGGGCCGACCTGGGGCCTTCCTGGAGAACTTGGACCCGGTCTCTCTTGGGAGCCCTTGGGGGCCTCGTGAGTTTCTTTTGGACCGTCTTGGGGCAGTCTTGGGGTCCTCTCAACCCAGCTCGAAGCCCTCTTGGGGGCTTCTTGGGCCGCTGTGGGGAGATCTCGCAGGCTTCTTGGGCCGTCTTGGACGCTGCTACGACAGAAAACAATAAGCTAAGCATGTGCGTTTCCCCGTGGGAGTGGGACGATGTTTGCTTCTTGGGGGCTTTCCTGAAGGCCTCTTGGGGCGTCTTTGGAGCCTCTTGGGCCGTTTGTGGGGCTTCTTGGGCTGTCTGGAGGCCGTCTTGCGCTGCCGTGGGGCTTTCCTGGAAAACTGGGGCCCTCTTGGAGATCTCCCATGGCACTCATGGGTCTCTCTTGGGAGCCTTTGGGGGCCTCATGAGTTTTTTGGGACCATCTTGGGGCTGTTTTGGGGCCCTCTTGGCCTGGCTTGAAGCCCTCTTGGGCCGCTGTGGGGCGATTTCGCAAGCTTCTTGGGCCGTCTTGGACGCTGCTACGACCCAAAAAGCGAATATGCTAAACATGCACGTTTGCGGTAGGGAATGGACGAGGGCGTCCAGGGGGGGCCCGAAGCTCCAGATCGAGGGGCTCCCGTTTTTGTTGGGGGGGCTTCTGGGCAGCCCTGGGAGGTCGAAATTTGATCCCGGTGGGGGCCTGTCCGGAGTCCCCGACCTTACAAAAATATATGCACATAGGAACCTTCTTCTCGCAGCGGGGGCCGAAGCAAGGCGAGCGCCCTGCCCCCCACACCGTTTGGCCGCAAGGGCCCGCCCGGTCCAATGTAAACGCAGCCCCCTGCCTTCGGGCATCGGTTCTCAATTCAGAATTTGAAAACTCAAGCGGCGTATGGACCCAGCCCCCGGCCGGAGGTCACCTCAGCCTTCAGCTGCCTGCGGCGCCGCCCCCTTGTCCCTTGCGCCCAGTGGTATTCATTCTGGCCCCGTTGAGCCTGGTGAAGCACCCTGGCGTTCAGGTGACTTGCATGTTGACCAGCTCTGGCTAGAGTGCTTGCGCTTCCCTGGCCTCTGGTCTCCAGACACCACCACAGCCTGGCCGTGTCTGCTGCTGCCGCCAGCATGGTGGACGCAGCCCTACTGGATTGCTCAGTAGTGGTTTAGTTTTTGTTGGTCAACCATGTGTGTTCGTCCCTGTTGGCCTGCAGCCTAGCACGCTGGACTGCTTGCGCAGCCCCGCGCTTCGCCACGTTCGGTGGCGCGTCTACCTCTGGCGCCTGTTGCGACAAGGTTCAATTCGTCCTCTCCCCGGTGGTCTCGCCTCTGGGATGCCCGCATGCTGGCCGCCTGGCTCTCCTGGCAGCTTTCGCAGCCTGCCTTCAGTCCCCGGCGCCCCTCAGCCTCCCTCGGCGGCAGCCTCGACAGCCGTGAGTGCGTCCGCTGGGTAATTAGGCTTCGCCCGTAGCCCGGGTTGACCTCTGACGCCGCCAGCGCCTTCGCCTGCGGCTGCGACAAAAAAAGTATCCCCACCAGCCCATCCAAGAACAATTGCCAGTATAATAGGATAATTGCTTAAGCAGGGACGCGTGGACGCACGCAGTTGCAGTTGCACAGCCGCCGTGGAAGCGTGCCAGAGGGGGCGCATAAAACAGCGGGAACATTTGTCTAGTATTTTAGCGAATATCCCCATGCCACAGCAGCTTCGTTGATACCCCCGAGATTTGTCTTACGAGCCCTGTAAAACCTCCCCTAGACCACCTTGGGGTAAGAGGAGGAGGAGGAGGAGGAGGAGGAGGAGGAGAAGGAGGAGGAGGAGGAGATGGAGAAAAAGTAGAAAGAAGGAGGAGGAAGATGAGGAACGCGGCGCTAGCTTTGAGTTGCCGATGGGGGACCTGAATTTCGCACCCCCCCTCTGTTTAGACAGTGGGGCTCTAGGCTCCATACCCAGCAAAAGAGGGGTCCCCTCTTTGCAAGGTCTTTGCAGGATCATTGCAGGGTCTTCGCAGGGGGATGGGTCGTGCAAAAACTGCAAAAACCATGTAAAGCGGGAGTCATGGAGGCCTCTTGGGGCGATCTTGGGCCCCATGGCTCAAAAAGGGGGGCGTCCTCAATTCATGTCGCTCCCCTTCGGAGGCTCAGAAAGGGCGTCTTGGCGCCCTCTTGGGGCGCTCTTGCGGCGCTCTTGAGCGCTCTTGCTACCCTCTTGGGGCCCTCTTTGTCCCCTTTTGACACTTCAAAAGCCCACCGGAAGCGAGGAAGCTAGAAGGCACAAAACATTGATTTTCCGTTGGTTTTTGAAGGATGTTGGCCGTTGCGGGGATGCTGTGGAACGCCCGAAGGGCATTTAAAACCGTTTTGGGGCTGCCTTGGGGCCTCTTGGATGTGCGTCGGAAGCCACATTGACCCATCTTGAGCTCTCTTGAGCCATCTTGGAGACCATCTTGGGCTCTCTGGGGCTCTCTTGGGGCCCTATGAGGCCATCCTGGACGCTCTGACTGGTCCGTCCCCTCCCCCCTCCCAGGCCCAGGGGAAGGGGGAGGGGGATGGGAAAAGTCCTCCCCCGAGCATGGGAAGGAGGTAGCTTTGGCAAAGAGAGGACGAAACTCGTTAAGCCACCTGCGCCCAGAGGGCTGGTGGGATTTCCGCCCGTCTCTGTCGCATCGTTTGGGGTGCGTTTCCGACGCAGCTTGAGGTCGGAACAGCAGCCACAGCACAGCGCATCCGGAGTCAGGGCCGCCCCTCTCTCCTCTCCGCCTCCCTCTCCCCTCCCCCCTCCGCGTCCTCTCGCGCTCCGCACGGGGGCCCTCCGCCTGGCCGGTCGCACCCTCGCCTTCCTCCAGCCCTGAGCCCGGAGGGGGTGCGGGGGAGGCTCTGAAAGGTCCCCCTCCTCCTGCTGCTCCTTCCCCTCCCTCCCCCCCTGTTTCTCGGCCGGATAGCACCTCCTGCAGTTGACCCGATTGAGGGAGGTGCCCAGAGGCAGTTCCCTTCGAGCTGAGAGCAGCCTGTGGGCATCGGGCATTCCTAGGATGAGGCCCTGAGGCCTCCTGAGGCCTCTGGTACCTACGGTGCCTCCCGATTCTCTTTCGAGCATCCCTAAAATGAAGATGCACAGTGCTGGGGCCTTCCAGAACGCTCTGAGAGCGTTCGGGGATGCTCTGGGACGGCCACGGCGCCCGAGACAAACCTCTAGACCCGCCAGCTCTCAGAGATTCCCGATTGATCCACGAGCGTTCGACGAACTTTCGACGAATGTTTGATGACGACGACGACGACGACGACGACGACGACGACGACGACGACGACGACGACGACGACGACGACGACGACGACCACGGCCACGGCCACGGCCACGGCCACGGCCACGGCGGCGGCGGCGACGCTGATCCTCGTCCTTCCTCCCCCCTGCAACCTGGGCCTCCCCGGAGGTGCGCGCGGCGGAGGCCGTCGTGTGCAACTCCTCCGTGTGGGATTCGGCTAAGCTGCTGCCAGAGGGCGACCCTGGAGACTCTCCCGCCGAGCCCGCTGGCTTGGCCTTTTCCCCTCCCCCCCATCCCTTCACAAATCCCTCCCCCCCTCTTTTTCCCTTCCGCCCCCCCTCCCCTCCCCTCCCCTCCGCACTCCCCGCCCATCCCCTCCACTCCCGCCTCCCTCCACCCCCTCCCCGCCCGCCCATCCCCCCCCCCCTCCCTCCGTCCGCTCCCCCCCCCCCTCCTGCCCCGCTGTCGTTTCAAGCGCTTCGCGCCGCCCTCTCGCTTCTGTGCTTCGGCCCGCCTGGGGCTCGGGGCTGGGCCTCTCTTCGTTGGGGAGGGTGGCGGTCGAAACAGGCTATCGGCAGGACGGCGTGCGGGCCGCTGCAATGCGGACCGTTGCAATGCCGAATCCGACCGACTTGCTCCGCGCGCCCGCCGGCGCCGGGGGGGATGTCCATGTCCTACAGTCGGACCGACGTATAAGATCGAGGTGGGCTCGGGGATGGATGCCCTAACGTTCATCTTGTTCGTTGGGTTCTGACGCCGAGAGGTCTTCGGCGCGGAAGCCCAGCAGGAGCTGCGCGGCGAGGCCTCTGCCAGGGGGAGGAGGGCCCAGCGGTTTCCCCTCGGGGCCCGCTCGGCGTGCGAGGCCATTCGGCCGCTGGGCGGGCACCCCGAGCGGGCTCACCTCCGACAGGGCGGTGCGAAGCTGGCCCGCTCGGCAGGCGAATGGGCTCGGCCCCATGCCCACTCGGCAGCCAGATGGGCTTGGACGCCGGGAGTAAGACTGGGTTCGCAAGACTTCGCCAGCGCGGTGGCCGCGTACAACGCCAAGGTGGGCAACGCGGCCCACTACCTGCAGGTTTCGCTGGCGCAGGGGGAGAGGGGCAGGCAGAAGGGCGAGGCTGCCAGGCAGCTGGTCCTGGACAGGCTGGACCGCCGAGACGGCGAAGCCGGCGCCAGCGCAGATGCTGCGGCGTTCTGGCAGGAACTCCCGGCCACCCTGCAAACAAGAGTGGCCGAGCAGATCCTGGCCGCCCACCGGCCCGCGGCCGTCGGCGGTGGGCGCTGAGCAGGGCGGCGGGGGACGACAGCGTGAGAGCGCCGAGGAGGAGGTAGACGACGACGAAATCTATAAGGAGAAGGGATGGTGGAGGAGGCGCGCCCGCGCAGCGGCGCCATCGCCATGAGCCGCACCACAGCGACCTCCACCACGAGGGCCACTACTAGCACCACCATGCACAGCAGCAACAGCGCCACCGCGGAGAAGCACCGATTGACGACAGCACGACGGCCACCGACGACAGCCACCGACGACGCCGAGCCCTGGCGGCAACCGCAGCCCGCCAGTGGGCCACGACCGCCGACGCCCGACCCCCGTCTCCCCCCGTGTCCCCCGGGCCCCTGCCCGCCCTCCCTTTCTCTCTCTGGGCTGGCCGCCCCTGCTTGATAGTTGCGCCTCGCCTTCCCCCTCCCTTCTCCTCGTCCTCCCCCCCTCCTCCCTCTTGGCGGCCGGAATATCCGACCCGCGGGTGGCTGAAACGTGCCCAGTAAGAGCCCACGAATTGAATTAAACTTCGAATCGGAGGAACCCCTCGCTGAAGGCGGGGGCCTCGCATTTTGTATAATTCATTGTAATATCTGCGGGACTTTCAGCCGACACGCCTCGCCCCTTCGCTTCTTGCCCGCCCGTTCTTCCCTTGCTCGCTTCGTGCACGCTCTCTCTTTCTTCTCTTCAGTGCGGAGGAGGACCAGTGCAAACCGAGGGGTCATCAATGACGTTGAAATAAAGCCTCCCTCCTAGTTCCCTCTTCCTAGGGCCCTATAACGGTTCATTTCCATTGAGGGAACAGGCACATTGGAAGACAACCGTTTGAAGACCCCGAACCGTGCCAACACATTGTTCTCGGGATTCCGACGCCACGGATCAACCTGATTGTTGCGTCTCGACGATCCTGAATCGTGCCGGAAAGCCATTCTTGGGACAACACCGCGAACAAACGTAATTGTTTCACCGTCATAATGCTGAGCCCTTCCAAAACACCGTTTCTGGTACGCTGATCCTGGGAATCCGTGAAACCTTTGTCAGTTACAAAAAAAACGAAAGTGCGCGGCGCTTGGCCTATAGAGCCACCGTTTGAGCAGGAACCGCCCTCAGTCCGTGAAATTGCAAGTGTTCAAACGCGTGCACGCGGCACTAAGGCAAGAGCCACATTTTGATAAGGAGCCGCTCTCAATCCGTGACGCTCGCGCAAATGTTTTAAAACGAACGTGCGAGGCGCTAAGGCGAGAGCTACATTTTGAAAAGGAGCCACCCTCAATCCGTGAAACTCGTGCAAATTTCTAGAACCAATGTGCGCGTCGCTAAAGCGAGAACCACATTTTGAAAATGGCCCGCCCTTCATCTGCGAAGCTGTTGCGAATTTTCAAGCTTCGGAGTCATAAATGGTGAGGAAGTCTCTGGCGAAACGCCCGGGCCACCCTAAAAACTGGCCTCGGGGTGCGACAGGGAGAAGCTATTCATGAGGAACTGGAATGGAAGAGGAGGAGGAGGAGGAAGAGGAAGAAGAACGGTGGAGGAGGAGGAGGGATATGATGAGGACGCGGAGGAAGAGGAGGAGGAGGAGGAGGAGGAAGAACGGTGGAGGAAAGCGGAGGTGGAGGAGGATGAGGAGGAGGAGGAGGGGAAGTTGGAGGATGAGGGGGCGGAATAGGATGAGGAGGAGGAGGAGGAGGAAGAGGAGGAGGAGGAGGAGGCCGAGGAAGCGGAGGAGGAAGAGGACGGCGACGACGACGGGAGGACAGGAGGAGGAGGAGGAGGAGGAGGAGAAGGCGATTCTCTTGTGCTGTCGGATGTCTTGGAGGATTCCCGAAGGCGTCAGAGCGGTTTGAGCCATCGGGAGTCCCTCAGGCGACGCCTCGCTGGAGGCCCTCCGACAAGATTGGACGGGCACGCCGATGACGCGGTCGTACCTGCACCTGCACCTCGGGCTCGACGCCGAAGGCCTGGACATGTCCAAGCTCCTGCCCCACTACACGGCGATGGAGTCCTGGGACGACGTCACCGGGGAACAGAACAGTCGGGTGACGTCAACTGACCACCTCACCGATCCTGATCTCAGAAGAAGAGATTCCGATACTGCTACCCTTCTGTCGTCGACACGGCTGGATTCGCCTCGAAATTCTGGTCATCACGCACCCTGGGAGAGGTCTGTGGAGTAGCGGCATCGGTATTTTTTTCGTCCCCCCATGATCAGTCCGATCTTGGGCCGAGGATGAGCCTGGCCACGATTGGTGAGGCGGCCGGTTGGCGTCGCCCGAAACGTGGTGGCAATCTCCAACCCGTCGCTGCTCGACGACTCGCTCGCGCCGCCGGGGAAGATCGTCATGCACCTCTACGGCGCTGGGAATGAGCCCTTCGATATATGGCAGGAGGCCGAGGCTGGCGGCAGGCAGGCGTACGGGGCGCTGAAGGAGTCGCGCGCGCAGCGGCTCTGGACGGCCCTGGAGGAGATCATCCCCGACGCGCGGGCGAGGGCGGAGGTGCAGCTGGTGGGCAGCCCGCTGACGCACCGCAGGTGACAGCTCTGGCTGAACTGCCGAAACCACGACCCATGCGTTGAGACCTCAAGAGTCTGGGCGCACTCTTGCTTTGCAGAGGGTGGAAGGGGACGAAGAGAAGGAGGAGGAAGGAGGAGGAGAAGGAGGAGAACGAGGAGGAGGAGGAGGAAGACCAGGGTAAACCCAAGAGCCATCAACGATGTTGGAATGCACCCTCCCTCCAAGCTCCCTCTTCATAGGCCTCTACAACGGTTCATTTCTATTGAGGGGTCTGCTTCGTTGGAATACAGCCGTTTGAAGACCCGGAAGCATGCCAAAACATTGTTCTCGGGATTCTAACGCCACGGATCAACCTGACTGTTGCGTTTTGACGAACCTGGATCGTACCAGAACGCCATTTTGGGGATTTCAACACCGCGAAATCAACGTAACTGTTGCACCCGCAAAATCCGGGGAATCCGTGAAACTCTTGCATTCTTTTTTAAAGCGAATGCGCGCGGCGCTAAGGCGAGAGCCACATGTTGAAAAGGAACCGCCCTCAATCGGTGAAACTCTTGCATTTGTTTGAACGAATGCGCGCGGCGCCAAGGCGAGAGTCACATTTTGAAAACGGTTGATCCTCAATCCTCAATCCGTGAAGCTCGTGCAGAACGAATGTGCGCGGCGCTAAGGCGAGAGCCACATTGTGAAAATGGCTCGCCTTCCATCTGCGAAGCTGTTGCCAATTTTAAAGCTTCAGAGTCATAAATGGTGAGGAAGTCTCTGGCGAAACGCCCGGCCCGCACTAAAAACTGGCCTCGGGGTGCGACAGGGATAAGTTATTCATAGAAAAAGGAATGTCGGAGGAGGAGGAGGAGGAGGAGCATTTGGAAAGATGTGCTGCCACCGCTGAGCCTGAATCCTGGAAGGCACCCTGTGGCCCCCTGAAGCCTCTGAGGCCCCGAGATAGGGCCAACGGCGTCCAACAGCACACCGAAGGCGTCTGAATGCCTCACCTTCCGATCCTGCAGCCCCAGGGCTCGCTCCTGAGCCCACTCGGCGTCTGAGCCGATCCAGTTGCCGAATGGGCACGGGGGACGGAGCCCACTCGGCTGCCGAGCGGGCCAGCTTCGCACCACCCTGCCAGAACTAATCGGTGGCCGAGTGGCTTCGAGACGCCGACCGGGCTCGGGGGGGGGTGCCGTGGGACGCGCCGAGGGCAAAACTATTGGAGATGTCGGCGAGCAGGTACCTCACCCGCGCCGCGGGCACCTACGGCCCCGCCCCGCTGTTCGGCCGCTTCGGGCCCGGGAAGCTGCCCTTCAGGACCGCCATGGACGCCTCTGCCGGGCGCGGCGAGCAGGGAGTGGAGGGCCTCATCCTCTGCGGGGACTCCACCTTCCCTGGCACGCTGGGGGGGAGAAGAAAGCCCCACGCAAGCTGGAGGGGCTGGCCGCACGGCGCCGGCACGGCCGACGGCAGGCCCCTCCGGAGGGCCAGCAGGTGCTGGCGCGGCGGTGCTTCCCCGGACTCGGAGCACGAAGCCCGCTGCGCCCTCACTTGGCCCGAGGGCACGGATCTGGGCCTCCCAGATGGGGTCGGAGGATCGCGCCGCATCGCCGATGTATCGGCGACGCATCGCCGATGCGGCTCGATGTGGAGCCCGATTGGCTTCACGTCGACGTCGCCGATGCATCGCCGACGTCGGCGGTGCATCGCCGGTGCATCGTCGGTGCATCGCCGATACATCGCCGATGTATGGGCGATGCGGCGCGATCCTCCGACCCCATCTACTCCGACCCCATCTAGGAGGCCCCCAGCGGAAGGAGAGAACGCAAGGTCACCCGCGGGGGCGCGAAGGCGTCGTGGTCTAGGCGGAGCGGCTGCCCTCTTCTCTAAAGGGGCGGCGCGGGGGCGCGAAGGTGATCGCGCGTGGCGCACCGCGGGGCGCGATCAGCGAAGCTAGGCGGCTCATGGTGGAGCGGAGAGGGGCGGCATGGATATCTTATCGGCCCCCCCCCCAGGCATCGGCGTTCCCCCCCAGGCATTGGTATCGTATCGGCCCCCCCAGGCGTTGGTATCTTATCGGCCCCCCCCCAGGCATCGGCGTTCCGGCGGCGGTCGTCTCGGGCCTGAGCGCCGCGCATTCGGCGATGAGCCCCTGGGAGCACCTGGGGCTGCTCGGGCGAGCGGGCTACTGACGTGCCCCCGACGCCTCCACAGGAGGCGCCCGCGCACCACCGCCGTGCCTGCCTGGGGCCATCCTGGGCCCCCCGGTGGAGTATGGAACCGCCTGGCCTTGGCCAAGAGGCCCTACTACTAAGTCGGGCGTGTCCCTCTACAGGAGGAATACTCAAAAATAGTAAAAGTCAGGGGGCGTTCTTGTGACCATTTTTCCGCATTGTTGGAAGTTTTGCTTGAACAATCTTTAATGTTTCGCCCACAATCCCCCTGTAGGGGGACACGCCCGACCTAATACTGTTCACCTGGCCAGCCACGTTGGTGGTGCACCCGGAGCCTCACCGGGCGAGCCGCGCGCGCATCCGCGGACGGCGAGCCGCCGCGCGCGCGTGGGGTGCGGCACCGGCGCGCACCCCGCGCGGGCGGCCGCCCCGCCCGCGGACGGACGAGCCCGTGCGCTCGGCCGCGGGCGCTCGGCCCCCCGCGAGGCGCTGGGCGGGGCAGCCGCCAGCAGCCGCGGCGCGCTGCTGTTTTGCTGGGGGCCCTGCCCAGGGATCGGCGGGGGCAGGAAGGACGTGTATATATATATATACGTATATATATACATACATACATACATACATACATACATACATACATCCATACATATACATATACATATACATATACATATACATATACATATACATATGCACATACATGTACATATACATACACATATACATATACATATACATATATACATATACAGATACATATACATATACATATACATATACAGATACATATACATATACATATACATATACATATACATATACATATACATACATGCATGTGCGTATCCGTGGGAAGCCTGTCGGGTTTGGGGGGCCCCAGGTTCCCCGAGCGCCCCGTGAAGCCCGAAAAGGCACCAGAGGGTCCCCGGAGGGCCCCGAAACGGCACCAGAGCTCCCCAGAAGAGCCCCGAGACGGCCCAAGGAGGCACCGAGACGACCAAAGACGGCCCGACTTGACGCAAGACGGCGCTCAGACGGCCCAAGATCTTGCCAAGGCGGCCCCATAACCCGCCAAGAAGGCTCCGAGACGGCTCCGAGGGGACACTCGAGGGCCCCAAGAGGCCGAAATCGTAGATTCCTTTTGGTTTCCCTGCGGTTTCTTCAAGTCTCACGCTCTCGACCGTCTGGACCCCCAAGACGGCCCAAAAGGCCTCCATGGTTCGCCCCGAGACGGCCCAAGATGCGCCCAAGAGAGCCCCAAGACAGCCCAGGAGGGGCCCACGTTGGGTCCAAGAGGTTCGCAAGGTGGCCCAATAAACACCCAAGAGGCCCCCAAGACGGCCCAACGAGCCCCCAAGAGGCTCTCAAGACAGGCCAGGAGGGACCCGAGTCTGCCCACGAGGGCCCCAAGACGGCCGAAGACGCTGTCAAGATGGCCCCAGAGGGAGAGGACCCCCAGACTGATCCAAGACGGCCCAAAGAAGCTCACGAGGCCCCCAAAGGCTCCCAAGAGAGACCCACGAGGGCTGTGGGAGGTCCCTAAGAGGGCCTAAGTTCCCCAAGAATGCCCCCCAGGACGGCCCGAGAGGGAACCACGACAGCCCACACGGGCTTCAAAAGGACCCCCAAGACTGCCCAAGGAGGCGCCCAGGAGGCCTCCAGCGGTCCCCAAAGCCCCTGAGAGGCATTCGTGAGGCCCCCAGAAGGTTCTCCAACGAGGAGCCTCCACAGAAAGAACTGCGGCAGACGGGACATGCTCGCAATGCCAGGCGAGAGCGTGGACGAACGAAAAGTACGATGAGGAACGATGAGGCGTTGCTTTCCGTTGCCTTGCACTGCGCGACCGGGCGACTTTGGGCCACGAACGAGCCCGTGGGGTGGCCACGCGAAGTACCCCGAGCGTTATTCTGTTGCACGCTCGTGCGTCTTCCAGAAGGCGACTCCTACGAAGTTCACCAAATTGACCCGAACCCCGGGTTCGCAGCAACATTCCCTGGAAATCCGTGGCGAACTTGGGATTCGGTGTATTCCCAAAGACACTGCATATGATTTCACATTGCATTGCTCGGTATTCTGCGGCATTGCTTGACAGTGCGTCGCTTCGTTTGGCATTCATTCGCATGGCTTGCCATTGCTTCGCATTGTGCACCCGGGCAGCCTGGGCCACGAGCGGGCCAGCGTGTGCGCCACACGAGGGCCCTTTATATCGGGGCTCGACAACGACCAAACATTCCCAGCAACCTCTTCGCCCCCGACGGGCCCACGGGCCCCCGAGGTCAGCCCCCAACTCCGCGCTCGCTCGCCCCAGGGCGCGCCTTGAAGGGTGCGGGGACCGCCGGCGGACTCGCCGCCGTGCGCCGCGGGGCCACGTTGCCGTGGTCGTCGTCACCGTCGTCATTGACATCGTCGCTGCCGTCGGCATCGTCGTCGCCGCCGCCGTTGTTGCCGTCGACATTACCGTCGTCGCTACCGCCGTCGTCGTCGGCGTTGTTTACCGTATCGCTTCTGCATTGGTCGCCCAAGATCACCAGGGGGGCCGCTCGGCACCGACGGCGACGCCGCGGGAGGGGGCGGCAAAGAGGACGAGGACCGAAGAGAAGGATCGAATAGTTGAGGTTCGAGGGAACGAAGAGCGATTTCCTGTAGGTTCCCCAGGCGGTGCTTGCTCCAGGGGCTTCGGAGTACAGAACTTGAGCAGGTCGGCCGGGGTTTCGTCGCGTGCCCGCCCCTGCCGCATCCTGGGCGCTCGTGGGCCCCACACCATAATATATAGCTCACGCCGGTCTCTTCCCTTCGCACAGCTTCCACAACGCCGTTCACAACATATTGTTCATACCACCTGTCCTGCACCAGATAACCTACATCCTGTAGATACTACCCTATCGCCCGCATTGCATGAATTACAAAACGTAGTTCCCACCGCATAACTTACGCCGCAAAGCTTCCACCACGTAGCTCACACCACATGGTTGCCACCTCAAAGCTCGCATCACAGGTTTGCCCGCAGAATTTTCACCGCCAGAGTTCCACACCTCACTGTTCGGGGTCTGCGGTGGTTCAGATGTTTCTTGGTTTTATGCCGTCGAGGGCCGCTGGAAGCCGCCAGGTTTCTGCAATCCTCTGAGGTTTTGGCTCGACGTCGGCCTGCAGGAGCTGCTGCGACCCGGGGGGCTTCAAAAACAGATCCCGGGGTTAAAAAACACCCTCCCCGCGTTGCGTCGACGCAGCGGCGACCCCGGCGCAGGCGTTCGGAACGAACGCGGCCAGTGGTCAGGAATCAGCCGGCGTTGAACGGGAATGCGCGATCGTTCACGGGTGAACAATCTAAGCGGTGTCAAAAATCAACGCGCTGGCCGTTGCGACATCAGCTGGCGTAGGATCGCGCCACGTGATCGGGTCCGCTTCGAAATTCGAATCAAAACGCACCCCAAGAAAAGTTCGGGTAGCGCACGGATCTTCAAAGCGAGGGCACGAGCAAATAGGAATGGGTGCGGGGACTTGGACGTGAAACGGCCAAAGTGCAACGGCCAACAAAAATGGCGACAAGTGCCAGCAGATGCAAGGCTTGATGGACCAAGGTGCATGGCGCGAAGCGCCAATGCAGTCTTGTATGCATGTATGTATGTATGTATGCATGCATGCATGCATGTATGTATGTATGTATGTGCGTGTGTGCCTGTATGTGTGTATGTATGCATGCATGCATGTATGTATGTATGTATGTATGGATGGATGGATGGATATATGTATGTATGTATGTATGTATGTATGTATGTATGTATGTATGTATGTATGTATGTATGTATGTATGTATGTATTTATGTGTGCATGTATGTATGTATGTATGTATGTATGTATGTATGTATGTATGTATGTATGTATGTATGTATGTATGTATGTATGTATGTATGTATGTATGTGTGTGTATGTATGTATGTATGTATGTATGCATGCACCATTAACGGCTTATATTCACATTTATATTTATGTGCATATATACATATATATATGCACACTCTGTGCGGCGTTCCCGAAAGGGCCCGACGTCGAGGAATCGAAAGGTCGGAAAGGAAGGTCGGCGGCAGCCAGGACGGTCGGAAGCCAACGGGAAGAACACAGCGGCGGTTCCGCGGGCTGAAGCCGGCGGAAGTAAAAGTTGCCTTCCCACAAAATGGGCAGTTTTGTCCGGGCCCGGGGGCTTTGGAACCCGCCATGTAGCCGTCTCTTTTGGTGGGTGCACACGCGCGCAAGAGCTACATGCTCTGAGCGTGCTCCACCGCCTGCGGTTTCCCTCGCCCCTCCGTTCGCGCCTCAGGTGAGCCGCGAGGGCTGGCGCTGCAGCGGGACGCGGATGGATTCTTCAGTGCACGGCGACCCAGAAATTTTCAGATATGTCTTCAGGTCAATCAACATCGGAGTGCAGAACAGTTGTTCCGCGAGGAGGCGGAGGGGGCAGGTGAGCAGCTCGAGAAATTCGCCAAGAAGGCTCGCCCCAGCCCAGACGATAATATCCAAGGTGTTGCGCACGTTTGCCAAAATGAATTGCACCATCAGACGTGTAGCAATGGCGAGAGTCGTACCGACTTACATCACGTCGCCTGGGCCAGCGGCTAAGTTGTTGGAGCCGAAGGCGTCGTCTCATAGCGGGTACGCCAATGGTGCTGCGTGTTCAGGAGCATAATTTGAATGCTAAGCTTCCAGATTCCCAATCTCGTGCTGCTGCAGCAGAATATCACCGGATCTGGGCGAAGGCTTCCGACACGGACGGGGGAGGCACGAGTGGCGGAATCGAAATTCCGGCTCCAAAGCGCATTCAGGCCATTTTTATTTCGTTGAGTACGTGCGGTAACAACCCACGTGCACGTGCGGTAGCAGCGCACGAGCACTTTGCGATGAAGGGCGGGATCATTGTTGTCAGTGGATACCTGCATTGGACATCCCCCGTGTGCTCGAGCTGGTGAACATGAAGCGGTTCGACGACCCGGACCTGTTGCGCGTCTTCGGAACCACGCGGGCGACGTGCGGCAAAAAGATCAAGGACGACGTTTGGGCCAAGCTGAAAGCCACAGCCTGCCGCAAAAATGATCCTCATCTCTGTGGCGCGCGGGGCTGGTACGACTGCGCTTACGAGTGGCGCAGGGCGTCTATGCACGTGCGCGCGCGTCCAAACGCCACGCGCGCGCACAGCGTCTTGTCCTGCCTTCCAGCAATCAACGGGCCTTCCGCTATACCCACCCAGAATGACTACGACGAAATGCGCGCCTGCGCCAACATCGGTACGACCGCCACGCTCGCCGACGTCCTCCCTGTGTACATGGGTATGGAGGTGGTATTTACGGAGTCTTAATGCCCGAAACCTGTTAAATAAATGATTACCCCCCCCCCTCCCCCGTTCCCCCCCGGGTCCCGACTACCATTAATTCGCCGCCGAGTAATTATTCGTTTAAGTGTCCCCGCTGGAAAATATTCCACCAGGACCGAACGATGCGATAAATAATTGCACGCACGTATGTCTGAATAAATGTATGCGTATACACGCGCACGCGCATGCTTTTGTATATGCGCATAAAATGTATGCGTACAGATGTGCAGGCTACTTCGGTCGACGAGTAGGTAGTTGTCGTCTTACTTGGACAGTGTACGTACGTACGCACGCGACTGCGCGCGCGTGCGCGCGGTGGCGTCCAGTTCTCGCGCGCGGTGTGAGGCTGACTGGCTTTATCTTGGCTCCCAGAATCCCAGATTTACGATCGTGTTTTCTCAGAAGGTTTCGGGGGTGACGCGTGTCACCAGTTTTTTTGTTATTGTGAAGTTGAACGGTTTTTTGTTGGATCCCACAATGCCACCTGAACAGTTGGTTTCTCTCACTTCGGGGGTGGCTCGTGATGCCCGCTGTTTTTGCGAGGTTGAGTGGCCTGATTCTGGCTCTCAAGCTCCCAAATTTACACATGGGTTTTCCCACGCGGTTTCAGAGATGACATGTGTTACGCGTTGTTGTTGTTGTTGTTGCGAGGTTGAATGGCTTTTTGTTGGCTTCTAGAATCCCGAATTCACATTTTATGTTTCTCACGCGATTCCGGGGGTGGCGCGTGACCGTGTCACCCGCTGCTTTTGTCAAATTAAATGGCCTTAGGCTGGCTCCCAGAACCCTAGATTTACAAATGGTTTTTCTCACGCGGCTTCGGGTGTGACACGCGTCACCCGTTCTTTTCGGGAGGTGGAATGGCCTCATGCTGGCTCCCAGAAGCCCAGAACTTATAATTGTTTTTTTCTCACGCGGTTTCGGGGGTGACCCGTGCCACCACTTGTTTCTGTGAGGTTGGATGGCCTCGTGTTGGCTCCCAGGATCCTAACTTTACATTTTGTTTTTTTCCTCTCACGCGGTTTCGAGGGTGGCGCGTGTCGTCTGGCTCCCAGAATCCAGAATTTACAAGTAATTCTCATACGATTTCGCGGGTGACACGTGTTACCCGTTGTTTTTGGAAGGCTGGATGGCTGGTGGCTCCCATAAGCACCAATTTACAATTGATTTTCTCACAGGGTTTCGGGGGCGACACGTGTTACCCGTTGTCTTTGTGAGGTTGAATGGCGTTTTGTTGGCCCCCAGAATCCTGAATTGACAATTGTTTTTTGTCACGCGGTTTCGGGGATGACAAGTGTCACCCGTTGCTTTTGTAAGGTTGAATGGCTTCATGTTGGCTTCCAGAACTTCAAATTTACAAATGGTTTTTCTCGCGCGGTTTTGGGGGTGACACGCGTCACCCGTTGTTTTTGCGCGGTTGATTGGCCGCATGTTGGCTCCCGAAAAAAAATTGGTGTGTCTCACGCGGTTTCGGGGGAGACACGTGTCACCAGTTGTTTTTGTGAGGCTGGAAAGCTTTATGTTGGTACCCAGTATCCAAAATTTACAGTGGTTTTTTTTCACGCGGTTTCGAGGGTGGCGCGTGTCGCCCGTTGTTTTGTGGGGCTGAATGGCCTTCTGTTGGCTCCCAGAATCCCAACCTGAAAATTGTTTTTCACGCGGTTCCGTGGCTGACACGTACCACCCGCTGTTTCTTGTGAAGCTGAATGGCCTTCTGTTGGTTCCCAGGATCCCAAATTTTGAATCAATATTTCTCACACGGTTTCTGGGGTGACACGTGTCACCCGTTGTTTTTGTGCGGCTGAAATGCCGCATGCTGGCTCCCAAAATTTCAAATTTACGCATGGTTTTTTACACGGTTTCGGGGGTGACACGTGTCACCCGTTGTTTTTGCGCGGCTGAATGGCCTTACGTTAGCTTTGATAATCCAAAATTTACGTTCTCACGCGGTTTCGGGGGTGGCGCGTGACGCTCGTTGTTTTTTTGCGCGGCTAAATGGCCTTATGTTGGCTCGTGGAATCCCAAATTTTCAAGCGCTTCTGTTCCCATACAGTTTCGGGGGAGGCGCGTGTCACCCGCTGTTTTTTGTGAAACTAATGGCCGTATGCTGCCCCCCCGAATCCGAAATTTACAAATATTTTTTTCTTGCAGTGAAATTTACAACTGATTTTCTCTTGCGGTTTCGAGGCGTCGCTCTTGGCGGCCGCGGCGACGCGAGCGCGGGACCTGGTGCAGTAGGCGGCCGAGGCACGCGGTACTCCTGAGGCGGCGATCGCAGGCGCGAGGCGCCGGCGCGAATCGGTCCTGGCCGTGGACGACCTGGTGCTGCCCGCAGGAGCCGAAGACGCCGAGTTCGAGCCCGCCAGCTTGCAGGCGGCTTTGTGTGCCATCCCGGACGAGCTGGCGGTCGCCCCCCTCCTGGAGCAGCTGGACGTGCCCGCGCTGCACGATCGCCGCCAGCGCCTCCCGGAGCTGCGCGACCACTCCGTGTCGCACAAGTGGCTGTGGCGAGTCTCGCGCGCACGTGGTCCAGTGGTGCCCAGAAGCGACTTCCAGGTGGCGGTCCGGCTCAGGGTGGGCGCCGTCTGCATCTGCCCCACCGCGATCTGTGCTCGGTGCGGCGCCGCGCTGGGGGCGACTGGCCCCCATGCCCTCTGCTGTGCCCTGCCTGCCGGAAGCCACCGCGGGCACTACGACGTTCGGGGCCAGGTGCTCAGGTTAGGGCACTTGGCAGGCCCCACCGTCGCAACCGAAGCTCTCGGGCTCAGTCCCTGTGCCTCAACGCTCCGCCCCGCGGACATCCTGACCTCAGCGGCCCTCCGGGGCCGCTTGGCGGCGTTGGACATAATGGGGGCAGACGATTAAGAAAATGCCCCCCCCGTCCCGGGGTGCCAAAATGAATGAGCGGGCCAGACTATTCAGCCGCCAAAAACTGTTTGTTTAATCGTCTGCCCACCTGGCGCCTTATTTTGCCGCCTTGTGGAAACTGATTTTCTGTTCGTCCTCGCGCGTTCGTTTGATCACCCGCGGCCGCAGGAGGAGGATTGCGGAGAGGGGGCGCCGGAAGCGCCGCTAGGGAACCCCAGCGCAGATCCAGAAAATCCACGTTCATGTTCATGTTCATGTAGTTCTTTCATCCCCGACTTCAGAACCAATCTGAGGACGGCCCAACTGTCGTCCTCGCGGCCGGCGGTTGGAGCTTGTCATTGAAAATGAGGCCAACGCTGCCGCGGGAGCAGCGTGTCGGAAGAACCGAACATTTGAATTATTCCGACGGAAGGACCCCACATGAGAATCCTCTGGGCGAATCTGGAAAAAACCCTCGCCGTCGCCCTCGTGGTTGATGAGGCGTCCTGCCTGTCTCTTCTGCGTATATTTCTTCTCGCCCTGGCGCGGGCCCTCCCCCCGTTCAATACGTTGCCCCCGACCTCGCCCTCCTGTTTTGGCTCCGGACATTCAGAAAGTGGCCCGGGAGTGGTGTTCTGGGATCACGAAGAACACGGAGTGGCCTACAGTTGGCTCCGGGCATTCAAAATGTGGCCCGGGAATGGTGTACTGGGAGCACGAAAAACACGAAGTGGCCTACACTTGGCTCCGGGCATTCAAAATGTGGCCTGGGAATGGCGTTCTGGCAGCGCGAGAGCCCAAAAGTGGCGACAGTTACAAGAATTGGATGACCTGCTCGGATTAGTAACATGATCCGCGGGCCCCATAAGGAGGGGGTTCCCGCTTGAGACTTCCTCGCAATTCATTCACACATGTGGCCTGGGAATGGCGTTCTGGCAGCGCGAGAGCCCAAAAATGGCGACAGTTACAGGAATTTGATGACCCGCTCGGATTAGTAACATGATCCGCGGGCTCCATAGGGAGGGGGCTCCCGCTTGAGACTTCCTCGCAATTCACTCACACATGTGGCCTGGGAATGGCGTTCTGGCAGCGGGAGAGCCCAAAAGTGGCGACAGTTACAGGAATTGGATGACCCGCTCGGATTAGTAACGTGATCCGCGGGCCCCATAGGGAGGGGGCTCCCGCTTGAGATTTCCTCGCAATTCACTCACAGACGAGGCCCATGGAGAGTGAGTGAATGACTGAGTGACTGACTGACTGGTGATGATGATGATCGTCACACTCTCTCACGCGCACACTCATCATCATCATCATCATCATCATCATCACCATCCTCATCATCATCATCATCATCATCATCATATGTGAGTGCTGATGAGTCAGTGAGTGAGTAAGTGAGTGAGTGAGTGAGTGAGTGAGTGAGTGTGTGAGGGATGATGAGTGAGTGAGTGAGTGAGTGAGTGAGGAATGAGTGATGATGATGATGATGATGATGATGCTGATGATGATGATGATGATGATGATGATGATGATGGTGGGTTCCTGTTCCTGCGCGGGGTGTCCAGAGAAAATTACTCCGACGGAAGGACCCCACATGAGAATCCTCTGGGCGAATCTGGAAAAAAAACACTCACCGTCGTCCTCGTGGTTGGTAAAGCTTCCTGGCTGTCTCTTCTGCGTATATTTCTTCTCGCCCTGGCGCGGGCCCTCCCCCCGCTGCCTACGTTGCCCCCGACCTCGCCCTCCTGTTTT